ACTCTGCCTCAATAAGCAAAAAGTACAGCATGACCCGGGGAAGAAGACACCCATGCGCATCCACATACATGCAAACGCACACACACAGGAATACGCACGCAACAAGCAGAGTCAAAAGGCAGACTTGGAGAAGGTCGGGAAGATACAGTAAGCCAACAGCTTACTGCCGTTAGTAGCTAATGGGTAAGGGTTACTAATAGCCCAAATTGCTAATAAGAAAAAGATGGCCTGGCGTGGCTGCAGGCAAAGGGTTGGAAAGAGGTGGCCATTCACTACCTGAAGTCCTATAGCAATCAGGTTGGTGCAAATCTAGCTCGACCCTCCTGTATTAAATACAGGGGAAGTCTCCTGGGAGTTATGGAATTGCTAAAAGGCACTCTGTCCATTATCAGTGCTTGTGCCATCAAGGAACCAACGCTTCATGTGTTTTTTCTGCAGATTTTGCCATTGTTATCTATCAAGATGGTTATAAACATATTCATTGCAACCAGGCTTGAGACTGTGTATGAGCCAGTAAATGCCTGTTACATTTTAAACTACAAAATATAGTATAATCCCATTATTTTTTTAAAATGTCAGTGTTTGTGTCCATATTCCAACATTTCAAGACTTCTAGAGCTAGCAAACAAAGCATTGCCTACCCACAAGGCTCAGGGAAGTGCTTCCCAGGTAATCTTAATTCTCCTCATGTTTTCTCTATGTCCTTCAGTGTTGGTGATTAACAACGTGACAATTATTTAGTTACTATCACAAGTTAAAGTATCGTCATTAAGGTTAAAGTAAGGTGTCTCGTGTGTATCAGGGGACTCTCTTGTCCTAGCTTCCCGTGTTGTGAGTAGATGGACAGAGTGGAGGGAGCTGAGGTCTGAAAGGGTAAACGTGGGGTTCCACAATGGTGGCCGTGTGGGCCCCAGGACACGAGTCATATGGCCAGTCTGGCAGATGAAGACTTGGCCCACTCCTGACTACGCCCATCCGACTTTTTCATTCCATTTCCTGTTAATGAACTAATGTCCTCGTGAATTCCTAGTCTTCGAAGAGAAGTTAACTGTTGCCTAAGTCAAGAAGGTTATTTAAAAAAAAAAAGTGAATTCTGGTTCCCTTCTCGGTGTATCTCTGGAAAGATAAAGCTCGTGGTCACCGGAACCCCAGAACCCTGATGCAAGCCTGAGGGGCTTCCCGTTGCCCACTAGTCCTCTCGCAGAGGACGAACATGCCCGATTTTCAGGATTCCCCTGAAGACAGCTGTGCTGCTGAGTTCCTGCGAAGCCATCCCTGTCCTCCTCTTCGCTGCCTCGGACTACCAGGGATGCAGAAGTAGAACTGCACATGTTCAAAGTGCTTCTTCTCAACAAGCCACTCTCCTTCTGAAAGTGCAATCATGAAGCTGCTCCCTGGGGCCCACGGGAGGAGGGGGAGGGGTCGCCGCTGCTCAGGAGTACAGGTTCTGGAAGGGCCACAGCCGCAATGATGGCCTGCCCTAACTCACCTTGTCTTTCCTCAAGTTTTCAACAAGTGTCTGATTCCCAAGTCCTGCTTACCAAGCCTGTAATGGGCCAGGTCTCTTGGAAATGTGGCATGGGTAATATGATTTCCTTCTTAAAGTCCATCATTTAAACTATGGGTCTTCAAGAATTGGGATATGGAGGACAATATTGCAGAATCTTTGACCTCATGAGTTACTAATTTCCACCCAGCAGGAACTATGTCATGAAGACATATTTCAAAGAAAGAAAGACAAAGATAACTTTTGAAAGAGAAGAGACTAAGTCAGCCATCTGAGAGAGGAGGAAGTTAGACACCTGTGCATACAAAGTCTTTCCTTTTAAAGGAGAAAGAGCCCAGGACCAGGGAACCCAGGACCAGGGAGGTAGGGACCAGAGAGCTCAGGACCCCAGGGACCCCAGGACCAGGGAGCTCGCGACCCCAGAAGCCCAGGACCAGGGAGCTCGGGACCAGGCTCAAACAGAACCGGGATTCTTCTGCAGATGGGTCAGAAAAGACTTGGGAGGGGACGTCCGTGGCAGCAGAAGCAAGTGAACACAGATGGGCACATGCACACTGAGTAGAATGCCATATTCTGCACGCGTGCGTGCGTGCATGCGTGAGTGTGTGTGTGTGTGTCTGGGGCTGGGGCTGGAGCAGTTGTGTCAAGGTTAAAAGTGCTGTTCCAGAGGACCCTGGCATTCCCTTACACAGCTCACAGTCACCCGTTACTCCAGCTCCAAGCCACAAGAAGCCCCTTCTGCCCCCATGGGCATTTATCCACAATGCACACACACACACACACACACACAGACACATGTACACACAAAAAAAGTTTTAAAAAATAACTACTTCTGGGAATGAAGTTAGTTTTCTGCATAGGGGACACACAGGTGCTCTGACGAGTCATTCTGCTCCTCGGAAGTGATACTGAGAACTCAAAGGCCCAGCTGATCATGGCTCGCTTCAGGCTTTAGGGCCAACTTTGGCAACTGTTTTTACTCACAACCCTTAGCCACAAGAAGCCACCTGGTTGTTGGCTTTCATTTTTTTCCACTACGTTTTGAAAACAGTCTTTGTGTCACTGATGGGGGAGACACAGGCCAGACAGACTAGCTTCTAACGCTGTGACGAAGACTTTCAGTTCTGCGTTCTCCAGGGCTTCATTCTAAATACACCCCAGCCTTCTCCCTTTGTTGGCAGACTTCAGTGTTGTGACATTTTTTATAAAAATCATTCTCCTCGAAAGAGACGCATGTGATCGCCTCAGTGTTGGAGGTTACATGACAGGTGCCCATCTAAACAGATCCTGGCTGTAGGATGGGGGGAGTTCAGGTGAACAGGTGTTTAACTCGTCTTGGGTTTTAAAGAGGAAGACGAGCAGAAGTCTTAGCAGCATTCAGACTCTACAAAGGAAACCTATCGAACTGCCCCAGACACGTGCTGTTGAGTAGAACGTCATGGATACTGCGAGCGGCCCCAGACATGTGCTGTTGGGTAGAACGTCATGGATACTGCGAGCGGCCCCAGACATGGGCTGTTGGGTAGAATGTCATGGATACCGCGAGCAGCACCTGCCAGTACAGAGTTCACAGCCCCACTTCCAGAGAGAGCTGCATCCTTGGACCCCTGTGCACCAAATAACAGACTTGCATCCTGATGTGCACAGGCAGTTTTCCCATCTCTCGCATCCCCTCCCTTCCATTCTCAGTTTACACCAACACTGTCTTATCTTCCCATTAGCACTGCACAGCCAGGCACCTGCCTGTGGTGCCTTTCATATTTACAAGTCTTCAAATGCAGTTTCCATGAAGTTTCCATCAAGTCTGTGTCCTTTAGTCACGCGCACAGCTTGCAAAGACACAGAATATGTCAAAACAAACAAACAAAAACATGTAAGCCCTGAATGAAATGTGCTAGGAAAAACAATGTCAAATAAAAATAAAACTTAAGGTTATGCATGACACCCAACATGAACACAGCCTTTTTCCGGGCCGAACAGAAGACAGTGAGCCCATAAATCCAAAGGCATTTGCTCCTTAGCTTTTAGGGCACTGCCCTTAGGGATAAGACAGAGGAGAGGGTGCACAGCTTCTCCATGTGGCCGATTACAAATAAACTCCTCTACTTTCAGTGAGGTAATTTGTGATTTACGACATTAGTCATTTTGATGTGACAGTTGAACCTTTTTTATAGATGTGTGTATATTCGTGTACATGCACATGTGTGCACATGTGTTGTGCACTTGGGGACAACCTTGTGAGTCATTCCCAGGAACAACACAGACCTCTTTTGAGACAGGGTCTCCCATTGGTCTGGAGCTCCGAGACTGGGGGATACTGGCTGGCCAATGAACTTTGGGGCCCTCTTCTCCTCTACCCTTCTTGCCTTAGGATCACAGGAGCTGAGTTTTTACCTGGCTGTTGCTGCTCCAACCCCACCCTTGAGCTTGCAGAGAACCAGCCACCTCTCCAGCCCCACAAATGTTTTCACAATTCAAAATTGGTCTTTCAAAGTTCTGGGAAATCTATGTTCTCCTTGCAGAAAATTATCCACCCGGGAATGCATCATAGACTAAGTAAATTCCCTTCTGATTCAGTTTTCCTTGCTGGCCTTGAGAACACCCTGCTGGGACTGCTCCTGACTGCCTTAGAAAACTTTAACAGCCCACCACTATTTGTTTTAAGAGCAGCTAGCAGGAGCCAAAGGCCACTTTGTCCTCATCTCTCCTCAACCGAGGGCCGCCCGGCAGAAGTTTAAGCACATAGGAGGGGCCGCCTAGCGGAGCCATCTGGCTTGACTGAAAGCTTTTACATAGAGCTGGGGAAACCAGGGTTGACCACACCGTAACCCTCCCTCCTAAGAAAAGGCCTGTTTGTTCCGGAAGGTAAAACCCGGCCTTACTTAACTAAGTGCATGCTTGCAGTTAGCGTAGGCCTGCCCAAGGTAGCAAGAAGAGCCAACCTGGATCTTTCAGAGTCCTGTCTCCAGAAAAAGCCTCACCAAGACTTTAAGCTGAAGACATCTGATCTCTCTCTGGGTCCCTCACCTGGGAAAACCGTCAGGTTGCAGGACCAGCCCTCTTTCCGCCTTTGGAACTTTCCACAGCTCCGGGGTCTAGAAGCAGCTGCGAAGTGTTGCCCACTTGCCACCCCGCGCCACAGCAGCCCCCAGATGGAAGCCTGGGGTGATCCAAAGCCTCTCACCCTCCCAGCCAGCGCTCTGATTGCAGTCCCAAGGCCCCGCGGTGGCTGTGAGAACGTGGCCCTGTTCTCCCGCCACGCCCCCGCGTCCCCACCCGCGGCCGCTGCCTCCCTCCAGTGCCGGGCGAGCCAGGGCGCTGCTCCGCCGGCGTCGCCGCGAAGGACTTTCTCTACGTGGCCGCTAGCCGGAGGCAAGAGGCAGAATCGGAGCCAGGTGTGGGCGCAGGGACACCGCGGCTGGGGCAGTCCCGGAAGGAGGTGACGCTAGAATCCAGGAGGCCACAAGACGTGGCGCCCCAGAGGAGAACTCACCTGTGGTCGGGGTCCCAGGCCGGGTCCGGGGCGCGGTTCCACGCAGGCAAGTCCAGCGCCTCCTCGCCTCCGGGCATGGCGCGATCGCCGCCGACGTGGAAGACTCCCGCACCGTCGGCCCCCCTGATCTCCATGGCGCGGACACCGGGCTCCGCCTGCGGGTGTCTGCGGGAGGCAGGCGGAGCAGGCGCCCTTATAAAGGGAAGTCGCCCGGGGAGCCCGCAGGGAGGCCGCCCTTGTCCACCCCGCCCCCGGCCGCCACGCCCTCCCTGCCTTCCGCCACCGGGCTACCCCCATCCATTCCTCCCAGAATGGTGTTTGGCCCCTTCAGACGTTCTTTGCATTTCTGTTGAGCTCGCTGCATGGCCCAGACTAGCCTCGAACTGAAAGTTGTCCTCCTGCCTCGGCCTCCTCAGTACTGGGATTTCAAACATGTGCCACCTACGCCGGGCTTGTCCGCTTCCTTGGCCAGCTCTGTTCTGCCGCGTTAAGTGCCCTACTGCGTTCTACGGGATTAATAAATCGCAGTTCCTCTGTCTAGGGATCAACAAGGTGGTGGGGACCGGCTTCTTCGTTATGGAGTCTTTATTCTGACAATTCCTTGACAAGGAGTGGGATCACAGGGGTGTCAGACAAACATGTGGACTGCAAGACGCCAGGTGCCAGGCTCTGAGCGGACCTTCTGCAGCCACAGTCTCGTGACTCCTGGAGAGCCCAGAGCAGCAGACCCCAGCGGTAGCCCTGCCCTTCCGCCTTGCTGCCCGAAACCCGGAGCTTCAAGACTACGGCTCGCCTCCATTCATGAACCAAAATTTGGCAGAACATTTTGGACAGAACCGGCCCAGAGCTTCGCAACTTCACCAGGAGCCGCACGAACAAAACCCCTACATTTCCGGGCTATGTGCATCAGTATGGGTTCAAAAGGTCCCCGGGGTTAGCAAGGGCAAAGGACAGTTTGCAGAGGATTGTGTAGAAACAGGTGGACAGAAAGACGGATGTAGAAGCGTTATTGACCCTTTTTGCAAGGGGCTTTTGTTGGGTTTTTTGTTTGTTTGTTTTGCTTTTGTTTTTAATTTTGAGACCCCCTCAAGTAACTTGCCCAGGCTAGCCTCCAGCTTGATCCTTCTGCCTCTCCTCACAGGTGCTGATGGTGTTAAGGAATATTCTACCCTCATCCCGCCCCACCCCGCCCCCACAGAATCTACCCTCGTTTAAAAGTCACTGCCCAAGGACTATTAGGCAACAACGCTCCTCACCCACTCTTAGTTTTTTTCTTTCTTTCAGGATTCCTCTTAGCAGAAGCTCCCACTAGGTGCAGAGAGCTTGAGAAGTCTGCCTGAGAAGTCACAGCATCCACCATGCTCAGGATTCTGCACACTGCCCCACATGAAGCAGCTAGATAGTGCCAGCACGATAGTTAAGGAAGTAAGATGCTTGCTGCCAGTCCTAAGTCAGACCCCAAGATGGACAGAGCCAGCAAGCTGTCCTCCGCTCTCCACATCAGCAGCGCCTGTGTGGTGTCCCTGTCCCCACCACGAAATAAATAAGGATTTTTTAAGGGGCGGGAGGGAGAAAGGAGATAGGGGACAAGGTCAGAGAAGCTTATTCCTCCTCGGACTTTAGGTCTTTGACTCCCCAAAACCTTCGTTCTCACTGTTCTGTAGCTTTCCTCATTTGAAGGGGACCCAAACAGGGTCCCACCTATGACGATTTAGAAACAGTTTCTCAGGTGGAGAAAACATGCATTCACCTAAACAGTTGTAAAAGAGACACTTACCCATCCATGTCTTCCCTGTCATTTCTAAGAGACAGGACCTTACTGTTGACTGCCTGGTTCAAGTTCTTTCTGCCCTCTCTTCCAAGATCTCTCCTGAGCAGTTGGCGCATGGGGTATCCAGTGCAAAACGGTCAGTCCTGAAATCACATGTGCAAAAGCCATACTAACATGAACTCAGGCAGAGACATGATAAGCAAAAAGGTCATCAGTTTTAGAGGAAGTGAGGAGGAACATGGGAAACATAGAAATTTTTTTTAAAAAGGGAGAAATCATGTTATTATTTAAATTGTTTAATTATTTACTTTTTATTTTATTTATTTATTTATTTGGTTTGTTTGTTTTCGAGACAGGGTTTCTCTGTATTGTTTTGGAGCCTGCCCTGGAATAGCTCTGTAGATCAGGCAGGCCTGGAACTCACAGAGATTGCCTGCCTCTGCCTCCCAAGTGCTGGGATTAAAAGCATGCACCACCAACACCCAGCTTATTATTTAAGTTTTTAATTAATTAAATTTTTAAAATAAAATTTAAAGATGTTTATCTAGATAGTTGTAATCAATGAATCTTGTATCATGAATAAGTATAAAAGTATCAATTTATAAAAGTATCTATTTAAAAATAACATTGGGTGTGGTGCACTAATATGTCTATGCCTGTAATCCTGGCACTTGGAAAACTGAAGCAGGAGGATTGCAATAGGTTTAAGAACAGCCTAGATTATATAGTGAGTACAGACCAGCCCGGGCTATATAATATCACACTATCTCAAAATTTAATGAAAACAAATATGAGAAATATAACCAGCAGGCAAATTCTTTTCTTAAAAAAAGAATTTTATCCTTAATGTATACCTGTGTGTCCATGTGTGAGGACGTGTATCTGAGTGGCCAGAAGAGGGCGTCAGATCCCCTGGAGTAAGAGTCACAGGGACTTTTGAGACTATAATGTGTGGGTGCTGAGAACGGAGCTCCGACCCTCAGCAAGAGCTGCAGGTCTCAGATATGTCGAGCCATCTCTCCAGTCCTGCAAACTCTCACAGACCATAGAGGGGAAACTTCCCAAAGCAGGGTGCTGGGTCTCAGTCCTCGCCTGCACATGACTCCAGGCTGCCTGGCTGGGATCAGGCAGCTCTGTGTACCCCCAACAGGAAGATACTTCTCATAAACACGGGACCAGACAGGACAGAAAGCTCCAGCAACAACAGCCAGTACAGGTGCTGCTCTTAACGTACCAAAGACCCCAAAACGACCTAACCTAGGAAGGAGCTGAGGGTAGAGAGGAGGAGATGAGAAGGAAGATGGAAAACAGAATCAGACAGCTGGAGGGTTCGGCTACCAGGCTCACTGAGAGACACGAACTATCGAACTATCGTTTCCAGGCACGCAGTGAAGCCACTCAGTTCACCAGTGTCCCTTGCTTACAGTGAAGTACCCCGCTCATTTCTCAGTGGTGACCTCGGGCACTGCTTGGTGCTGTGCGTCGGTCATTCCAATGTCAGGTTTCTGCCCTGCATGCCACATTCAAAGTTCGTATATTGACACAGCTTTGTCATGACCAGACAACACAAGAATCTTTGTTCAACCTGTACTGTGTGTCGGAGAACTTTTCCAGTTTACCAGTCACGGTCGTGAATGTCTCTAGTGGGTTTCCTTCTTGGGACAATTTCATAATTTTACTGTTAAAGGGGATTTAAGTCCTCTAGAAAATGTGAGCCGGGGTAATGGTAGACCAGCAACAATTTTACAAAACAGGCAGTCCAAAGCCGTACCTACCGCGAAGTCTATATGGAGGCAGGGCACAACCAAATATCAGGGAAATGTGCGTTTTGTTTATGTGTTGATGTGCAGGAAAGTAGGCTTTGAACTTCCAGAAGTTAATCTTTTGCTGGTTTTAAACACTGCAAATACATTGTTTGGTCCTTAACCTCTGAACTAGGTCCTGATGTGGAGAAGTAAGGTTACTCTGGAGAGACCCGGTATTCTGCTTCCTCTGTAGGCACTTTGTGTGCCATATCAAAACCCCTGCGCTTCAGCTTTCACGTATGGTGGGGGGTAAGGGTGGCTCAGCTACTCTGCAGAAAGAAACCCGGCTCAGCACAAGCAGTCTGTAACCCCGGGTTGGTGATCTTTCTGTCAGGAGGAGGGCGGTGCCCTGGGCTCTGGGGACAGCGGTGCCCTGGGCTCTGGGGATGGCACTACCCTGGGCTCTGGGGATGGCACTGCCCTGGGCTCTGGGGACGGTGGTGCCCTGGGCTCTGGGGATGGCACTGCCCTGGGCTCTGGGGACGGCACTGTCTCTGTTGCAACCGAGGTGTGATACAGAAATTGGCACAGACAAGAGGGAAACAAACACTAAATGGTTTTGTTTCTCCAGCTGTGGGAATATTCCGTTCTTAAAAACAGATTTTGTTTCTCAGAGCAGATATAGGCTCAAAGTGGAATTGAGCAGAAAGCACAGGGGCCTCCAGTACGTCCTCTGCCTCCTCCACAAACGACACCCCACATCAGAGTCTCCAACATCTGGGCTGCAGACCAGGAAACTCAGTCTCACTGGCAACAGATGTGTTGGAACCATGACTTTGGATATTCCAGCTCCCAAAACTGTGGACAATAACTATTTGTTATTTGGTTTAAGCTACTGGAGCTGTACGAGTGTGTTATAGAGGCCAGAACTGACTGATAACACTTTGTGAACCGTCTACTAATCCTCCCCTCTCCTGCAACCCCTAGGAATGATGGATCTTTCTACTGTCTCTAGAACACCATATGGTTGGAATCCAACAGTATGTAGCAGTTTTCAGGTTGACTTTTTTCACTTCATAACGCAGACTTAAACACCTTCCATGTCTTTCCATTACCTGCTAGCTCACTTCTTTTTAAGCACCGAATAATACTCTGTCGAATGGACATACCACGGAATATTTATCCATTCACTTCCTCAAGAGTGTCTCGGTTGTTTGCATGTGTTGTGGATTTTGAAGGGAGCTTCTATGAGCATCTGTGAGGACATTGTTTTTCCTTGTCGTTTAGTGTAAGCGTGTTTCCAAATCCTTTAGATGAGCACTGAGAGGCGTGAGTGCTGCTAGAGTGCATGCCATGAAAATATACTTTTGTAAGAAACCTCCTATGTTCCAAGCTGGCCAGAACATCCTGAATTCTGCTTGGTAAGAAACAAGACTGCCTGTCCCTTCACATCCTCACCCACGTTTGGGATCTTAAGTTTTGAATGCTGGCTGCTGTAATGGTGTACCGGAGTTGGTTTTATTTGCAGCTCCCTAGTGGCACGTGATAGTGACCCTGTCACGTGTTATTTGCCACCTGTATGTCATCCTCAGAAAGGCGTTTTTCCAGTTTCATATCCACTTTAAAGGGGTGGCCTGATTGTTGAGTTTTGAGTTCTTCCTATATTATGTTTGTGTATCATTAGCTCTGGTTTTTTTTTTTTTTTTAAGTATTTTC